GGAGGTGACCAGAGGAGGGACCTTGTCTGCTACTGGGCAGATTTCACTGGCTGAGTGTAGAGGAAGCAGGATCACTCCAGCGTCTTCTAGACCAGCCAGAGCCCTGAGAAGCCTCAGACCAGCCACCTCGAGGTTCCAAGAAAGGTCACCGTGGTTTAATAGGGGTGCATACATCTGTCCAGAGACACCCGGCAGACCCACACGCAGTCCTCTTGTTCCCACCTACAAGTACCTGCCTGGTTCAAGAAAGCCCTCACTGGCACAGGACCAGCCTTCCTGTTGGACAAGGGCAAGTAAGAGTTGTTCATTCATTCATTCATTCATTCCTTCCTTCCTTCAACACCAAGTATGTGCCAGGCCTGTGCTAGAGGCCAGGAAGTCAGAAATGAGTTGGACGCAGCTCTGCCCTCAAGGAGCCTACAGTTAGTAGGGGAAATGGACACATAACAGAGAGTTGACACTCTAGGATGTGATAGAATGCTAGGAGGTCAGAGCCAGGAGCTAGGGAAGGTTCTGGACAAGGCATTTGCATCCATGTCTTAAAGGATGAGGCTTTCTAAGCAGGGGGGTGGATTCGGCTACAAAGTTTCCCTAAAACCAAGAGAAATCCTATATCCGAGGCCTCCCATCTCTTCTTTTCTCCCTAGGGTCCCCTCCCCCATAGTTTCCTGAGAGCAGAACATTCCTGCAAGTAGCCCAGGCCATCCCCACCCAGCTCTCAGCCCCGTATCACCCAGGGCTCAGAACAGCTGTGCTGCAAGGGGCATCCGGGCCAGCCTAGGCCTGTCACACAATGGTGTGCACCCAGCAGGGGAAGTCGTAGTACAGCCTCGGCCCTCTGCCTCCCTCCAGGCCACAGACAGGGAGGGCAGGCTTGGGGGAGGGGTCCAAGTGGCCGTCAGGAGACTCCTGCAAGAGGAAGGGCTGGGCCCAGGGAGGAAGGACGGAAGGCAACTGGGAGGTCAGGAACTGAGCCCCAGGCACAGAGGTACCTTGGCAGGGGGATGGGGAGACGGAGGTTCCCGGAGGGGGGCCTCCCTGCCGTGCGAATCACAGCCAGAGGTTAGCAATCCCAGATAACCAGCCCTGGCTTCTCAGGCTGGTGGGGACCTGCAGAAGACACCTGTCCAGGCAGAAAGACAAAAAATCTCCCACCACCCGCTCTGGTACAAGAGCCGCCAGCAACAGCCCCATGAAAGTGTGTGAGCAGGGGATGCTGTTCTTGGCAACTCACTTCATATTTTTAGAGCTGAGGCTCCTCTGTTTATTAAACTTGGACCCTGCTGCTGTTTGTGAAGCCTGCTTCCCCTGGCTCAAGCTCAGGAAACCCCAGCCCGGCCCCTTCCCTGTGCTGCACACCAAGTAAGCCGGCCTTCTCTGGCCCAGCATGATTAAATTCAGACCCTTCCCGTAGCCCTGCTTCTTGAGACTATTCTGCAGCTGCTCAAATGCTACACATGCAACTGGTTCAGTTCCTCCAAGAGACCCTGGGGCTCTGCAGGTAGATGAGTTTCTCCCTTCCCCATTCCCCTTCTGCAAGCAAGTGGGGTGCACGGGCCGCCCTGCCCACCATGAGTCCTGTGGTTTCAGGGCTGCTAGGCAGGAAGAGGAGTGAAAAGACTGATGTGGAAGGAGTAGAGCCACGGGCTTGTGGGCACAGGTTCATCCCCCAGGGCCCGGTATGTACTGTGAGCAAGTCCAAGTCCTGGCCTGTGATGCCACTCGCTTCAGTGCAGAGGAAGGAGCACAGGCCTGGGAAGCAGGAGACCCAGGCTTCAGTCCCAGTTCCACATTCAATTGTGACAAGACACAAACCTTTTGGAACCTCAGTTTCCCTCTGCATTAAATGGGACAATAAGACCTTCCAGGGTTTTCCAGGGGAGGGGTGGGGAGGAGTAGGAACCAAAGAAGTAATAACACCTGGTAAAGCGTTTTGGAAAGCACAGTATTATCACAGAAGAGGCAAAGGTACGGAACATATACTGCCCTTGCCTGTCCTGTGCCCAAGGCATGCATTGCTAGCGGACGTCAGCACTTGCTCATTAAACTATATTGATACTTCAGAATCCCTCTTAACACATGTTCCAGGAAGCCATCCCAAGAGATCAGAATTGCCAAACAAAATGAAACCCATGCAAGAGCTCAGGGCATCATTGCTGTTGAGGAGAGAGCCCAGACGAAGCTGCTGGGAACTCGAGCTAGCCGAAAGTCAGAGGTGACCCTGCCAATTGTGAGTGGTCCAGAGGACAGAACCCTGGCATCCTGGTTCAGCCCATCACCCAGTGGCTGTGTTTCAGTCATCAGCTCTACAACCAGGTCCAAAGGGCAGGCTGTTATTGGACCCCTGCCATAGAACTCACAGAATAGTTAGGGAGACACAGCGTCCATGCAGGAGAGGTGACCATGCAAAGCGGGTACAGTGAATGACCAGTGAAGGGGCTAGATGGTCAGTGCTCTCAGTGGGCTGGGCAGATGGTCATCAGGGCTGTGAGTGTCAGCTTCTCAAGAGGACTCTGCACCTAGCATCCTGGCTGCCAACCCCAGTTCCTCTTTCTGCCATTGTTATTCCCTCTGAGTTCCCTGAGCAAATCTTAGCCCAGCCCCCAGCACAGTTAGGCCAGCCCTGGAGAGCTCTAGCTGTAACCCAGGAAGGCCTCTTCCAGGAGGCAGGGCCGCAGAGGCCCAGCTGGGGTGGAGAGTGATAAGACCTCTGCAACCCCCAGCCCCACCTCGTCTTCCCAGTTCCCCCAACCACAGAGCACTCCGTGAAGGTGATGCATTAGCCCCTCTATCCCGGGCTGCCGCGTGTAGGAGGGAGCTCTGGCCAGGCAGGAGCCAGGGTATCCCCGGGGCTGGTCTTTACGAGAAGTGGCCCCGGGGTTCCTTCACACCTACCCCAGGCCATCACCACAGACCCCCAGGCAGGGCCAGCCTGATCCAACAGCAGCATATCCAGTGGCCTCTGCAGTGTGTTTTCAGAGAGGGTCAATTGCATCCCCTTAGCTTATCACTTGACGGAAATAAAGGCAGGAGATCTTTATTAAATGTGATCAGGAGATAGGTTACAGGTCCCAGAATTCCTGATACATCTCTTAACAATGACTTAGTGCCTAACAACGACTTAGTGCCTAAAAGCACAAATTTCCCTCCCACGGCCTCAGGCAGTGCCATGATCAGTGAGCTTCCTGCCTCAGTTCCACCCTGCCCAGAAGGCCCCAGGGCTCCTCCCAGCCCCCTTGGAGGCAGGCACCATGTTCTTGCTCCCCTATTCCGTTCCATGCACCGCAGCCCACAGGCACTGAGCCTGTAGGAACTGGCCACCGGAGCTGGCATCTCCAGAGGCACCACCACACAGGGGCGAGCACAGAGGGATACCCTAGTGCCCCGCCCCTCCCCACAGCGTCAGGGAGGGTGCCTTTAGGGTTGCTAGGGGCAGGGTGTGTTGTCATGGATGAAGATGGAGCCTGGAGCTCAGAGTAAATTTCACTGAAAACAGGAAACCACGAAGCGATAGGTTCACTACTAAGGGTCCAGAGAAGGAGAACTCGAGGCCATGCAGGAGGAAGCTGGGGAGGAAGTGTGGTGTCTTTCTGCTGCGGGGCCTCCGCCCTCCTCCACACAGAGCAGCTGGCCCTAGGGTCTGGCAGCCAATTTCTTAGAAGTTCTCTCTGCCTTGAGGTCAGAAGCTGAGGTTTGGGCCAGGCCAGCCTCCCCATCGGGCAGGAGCATTCTTTCTGCGCTGGGGCGTGAGGAGCCTGGTCCATGGGCTTGTCCTTCAACCCTAGGGGTAGCCTGGCCCTGCCTCTAGCAGGTATCACCCTGCCCATCCCTGCTCCCTGGGCCCCCACAAGCTGTGAGAATAGCTCCCTCTTTCTGCGGCAGCTGGCACTAAGAGTCCACAGCAGCAGATGAAACCGAGGGGTAGATCCCCAGGGACAAAGCAGGAGCCAGGGTTTGGCATTCTGGCCGCTGGAGGAGTCAGTGCAGAGTCTCGAGGCCCGAGGCCCGCGCCCACCTTCTCCTCAAGGCCCCCAGGCACAGCTAGAGGCCCACGTTGACCTACGGTCTTGGGCCTGAGAAGGGAGCTTTTGGAGGCAACCGGGGGGCTCCCTGGCTTCAACTGCAGGCCCGGGGCTCACTGCTGCTGGAGAGCCTCGAGCTGTTCCCTTCTCCCACCCCAACTCCCGTCCCCAACCAGGCCAGGCAGGCTTCTCCCTGACTCCTGGGCCCTTACCCTGGCCTGAAGCCCTGGCTCTCAGCACCCAGGCCTGGCTCAGCAGAGCCAGCGTAGGCTGCTGGCAGATGAATGCCCAGCTGAAATGACGCCCTCCACAGTGCAGTGCCCGGGGCTCCTGTCCAGCTCAAACTTTCTCCTCCCCTCCTCAGGCCCCACCACCCCGTTTTCACCCCACAGTGTACAGAGACCCCTCCCCACTCCTCTCCATGCTCTAAAACTCTTTAATCGAAATTCCACAAAGGATTCCCCTCATATATGTGTATAAAAACAAACTTGGGTCATGCCCTGGAGCGGGAGATGGAGCAGAGGGTCCAGAGCAGAGCGGGCCTAAGACTTTCTAGGGACACGCCCGCTCCTGCCACCCGACAGGATCACGCTGCAGTGAAGGCTCAGCACAGATTGACTGGAACAGAGGACCAAAGACGGGGGGATGGGGGAAGAGGGCTCCCTGGGCCTCAGGCACCTCGGAAGCAGGGTAGGGATTTAAACCCAGCTCTTACGATCCACCCACGGGTTTTGCACTGTTGCCCAAGTAGTTTTGAATAGCACCCCAAGAGTGTCACAGGTTGAGCTGTACACTATGTGGTCACCATCTCTCTCGACCGCAGGGTGCAGGCGGTGGAGCCCGCTCCTCTCACCTTCCCAGCAGGCCCCTGGCTCTCCCCTCCACTCCCATCTGTGGTGGGTGGCGCAACCTCCGGCCTGGTTCCCATTGCCCAAGATGCCAGCTGGCTCACAGTGGCCACCGTGCCGCAGCGTATACTTCCCGTTTTGGGGCTTCTGGCCAATGAATTCTGGGGACCAGAGTGCAGGCAGTGGGAGCCCCAGATTTGTGTAACCTGCTGACGGCCCCTCAGAGTTGGCTGCTAGAAGGCGGCTGGGGAAGGCTCCCACGGCCCAGGGTCATGGAGGCCCAGCCCCAGAGGCTGATGATTACAAAGAGGTTTGACAGACGAGCAGTCTCAGGCGAGATGGGGGAGCTGGGTCCACCACAGCGGGGAGGAGTCTCTCCACATCTTGTCCTATCTTGTCCCTCATGCCTGGAGGGTGGCACTGGGGAGTCTGCCCAGTGCCCATCTCTGCTGTCGGGTCCCAAGGCTTATGTCCCAGGGAGAGAGGCTGCCACACAGCTGGCAGTTCTGGGGCCTCTAAGATGGAGGTCATTTGGCATCAGTAGCTGGTGAATTTCAGGTCTCTGGGGTGGGATCCCAGCACCCCACCATCCTTGAGACGGGCTGAGCGATCCAACATCTTCTCCCTTCTGCCACGTAGCATCCAGGGAGGCTGAGGGTCTGGCCATCAGGGGTATTTCCAAGAGTCTGAGCTTAGAGCAGGAGGAAAGAAACCAGGGCCAAGGCCGAGGGACCACTCAGAGGGCCAGCCCTAGCTCAAATGCACCTGCCCCAGGCCCAGCCACAACTGCCCACGGCCCCCAGCTGGTCTAGATGGCCTCAGAGTTTGGAGAGTCAGGGACAGGGTCTGCAAAGGAAAGGAGAAGCAGAGTGAAGTGGGGGTTCCTCTGTCCTTCATCGCCCCCACCCCACCCCCTGAGGCTGTGAGGACTCCCCAGGGAGGGCGGGGAGTGAGGCTGATGCCCTGCACGCCATGGAGAGGGCATGACCTTGCGGGCCATAGAGCTGTGAGGGAAGAGAAGCACTTACCTAGGGAGGGGAAGAAGACATCCCCGGGGCCTGGTGGAGACAGAGGAGTGTTGGGCTCAGAGAGCAGATGCCGCCCAGACTCAGAAGGCTGCCTCCGGGCCACGTAGGTCAGGGGTTGCCTGGGCTTGGTCTCTGGCATCCCATGGGAAGGTGGAGAGGTCTCAAAGCCGGGGTTTTCGATTCCTTGAGTGTTGTTGCTAGAGAATCAGAATTGAAGGTCATCCGTGCTGCCTGGGGCTAGGCCTCTGCCCTCCCGCCTGCCTGCCTTCTCTGCTCCCTTCCCCTCACCTGCCTTCCCACCCCAGGCCTCAGCAGCCTCTCCTAGCAGGGAGGATCCAGGACCAGAGAGAAAAGGCCATGGGCTGCCCTCGCCACCTGCCCTGAGCTGAGGGCATCTGACCCCAGCTCCACCCTGTGGTCTGACCATCTGCCCCAGGCCCAGGAAGGAAGCCCAGGGTCAGAGGCACCTCAGGAATCCGGGGACAAGTCTCTCTTTGGTCAGTAGAGTTAATGGCATTAGCACTGAATGTCCCCACAGCTTGTCTTGAGCTGAAGGGAGGCGTTCTTCCTGCTTGGGAGTGGGACAACCTCTGAGGACCCCTCCAACTCTGAGATTCTAGCAGGACTTCCTGTGACCCGTCTTGAATATCATCCCTTTCAAACATCAGGGAGGAGCTCTGAATTTAGTGTTGCATGTACCGGGGCCAAATTTCTAAATGTGGCTCATTCCCAAGCACGCCCTCCGTGCCAGGCTCCATGCCAGCTTCCTGCCCAGAGTGCACCAATACACATTCCCTGTCTACTCTATCCCCAACCTGCCGCCTCCATCTGAGCCCGGTCAGCCTCGGCCCTTGTAGCCTGACAGCCTTCTCCTTGGGGTGCCCTGCAGGGAGGGGCCACAACTCCAGATGTGCTGGCCTCCTTTGCATGTTTCAGTGTCTGCCTGGGCTCAGCTGCTCCCTCCCCTCCCCCACCCTGGCCTGGCTGACCACTGAGGCCCGAAGGTGGGTGCGTAGTTCATCCAAGCATCCTGCAGCTCAGACTGCTGGGTGAGGGGTGGCAGCAAAGAGAGCCAATCAGCACAGATGTGTAGGCCTCGGTGGCAGATGGCAAATGCTCTTCTGACCAGCTGTGCCAGGCAGCTAAACAGGGGCCCTACTGCCCAGAAATATCTCCTTCCTGACAGCTGGCCCAGAGCACAGAGAGGACCAGGGAGGCCACACCTGTGTTCTCAGCCCTGTCGTGGTACAAGCAGTGACCAGAGAGGAGAGGGGAAGAGATCCTGGTGAAGGTGGCAGAATCAGTCTGTCCTGGCTAAAAGATCCCCCTCCCCCTTAACTGCTGCAAAAGGAGTTTGGGTGTAGATGCTGCCCTTCAGAGATGACAGCCCAGGGAAGAGAGACAGCCTGCCAAACTCTGAATCGGGGTGGCACAGCTGCTAGAAGTGTTCGCAGGAAGGTCTCCATGGGCCTTACCTGTCCATCCGCACCAGCTCCTGGGCACCTAGGGACAAACAGACAGAGAAGCTAGTCACAAAGGTAAGGCTTCCCTAGACAGCATCCTTGCCCTCACTGGCAGATGCCCCTCGGGGAACGGGAGCAATCCTGGACAGGCCCGTGCTCAGCCCTGGATCCCACTTCTGTTCACTCAGGAAGCCCGTATGGCAGGCAGTGCTCTGCGTGTCTACCCAGCAGGTGAGGCCTCAGTGAGCGGCCCATTTTGACCGGTGATAAATGAAATTTGGGCTGCATTTTACAAGTGTCTGGGACAACACTTGTTGCCAGGAAACCAAAGGCAGCCAGTGATTTCTCCCATGTCTTAACTTGGTGATGTTAGACATTCATGATCAACCAAAGGCCTGGCTCCTGAACTTGCCGTTTTCTGTTTGGACATTTGTCACGTCCTGGTCGTCAGCCATGATTTACTGGGCAGGAGTGTCGGAAGGTCAGTTCCTGATTAGAGTCCCTGGTCCTCTCTGTCGCGTCCTCTGCATTGCCTAATAGGGTGGCTTTCAAGGCAACATCTCTTAGAGGAGACTTAGGGGGCCTGAGACCCTATCACTTCTCGGCCATGCTACTGCTTTCTACCCTGCAGCCAAGCTGCTGCCACCCTGCCCCCCTGTGCGGGCTCCCCACCCCCCAAACTGGCCACCAACCAGATGCAGTGACCCCAGCTTCCCTCTTTCTTGCAGCTCCCCACGTATTCCCACAGATCTTCCTCGTTTTTTACGAGCTTTGCTGCTGATTACGATGGGGAAACAAGCGGTAGGGGCGGGGCACAACAACAGAACACTCACGGGAAGTTGCACACAAGTTCCTGAAATCTCTGAGGTATCAGAATCGTGGCTCCTTGTTTACCGAGTGACCGCATGGGGCTTCGTGCGGGTTTCTGTGTTCCCTCAGCTCATCCTCTCCTCTGCCCTGGGGACACTGAGGCTCTGATACTAGAGAGGTTGCCACACCCACTGGCCTCCGCAGCACACTGCCGTCCTCAGTGCTCCCAACGCTTTCTCTTTCTTTTTTCCTGAGTTTGGCTCATTCCCAAAAATACTTTCTGTTCCAGGCTCTGTGCCAGGCTCCGTGCCATCATCCTGCCCAAAGTGCACCACACACACTCCCGTCCACTCTGTCTCCGACCTGCCTCCCCGCTGCCCGGCTCTGGGCCACTCGGCCTCTGCCCTGTGGCCACACTCCTGGCACGTCCCAGGTGACTTCTGTTGCCATAATTCCAACAGCTGCTTCTCTAGAGTCTAGATCAAGAAGAATGACCTGAATCTCCACTCCCTCTCCATTTCGTACCTGGTTTCTCTAGCATCGTCCCCTCTGGCGTCTCTTGTGTCTGTCTCTAAGCCTTCGACCATGCAAGTCATTTTTTTTTTCTTTGTGGAGAGGACAGAGGACTGGCCTCAAAAATACTTTTTTTTTTTTTTTTTTTTTTTTTTTGGAATGTATACATTTAAGATTATAAATCATCTTATACACATTTTGTAAAGAAAGCAAAATATCTCAGTCGACTTAAAAACCATATTGGTTGTTTAAAATGAAAACTCTTTTGGGAGAAGTTATTGAGCTGTATTGACTTCTAAGACCCTTTTGACTTTTGTAGGAAGAATACGGGAGGCCATGGAGTTTATGTGTTTCATTATTTATTTCAAAATTAATGTATAGAACTGGATCCCAGGTTCTTTATGTGTAGGTTGTGTCACATGTGGAGTCAAGATATAGACAGCTCAGATCTCTCACTGTTGTGGCCTCTCTTGTTGCGGAGCACAGGCTCCAGACGCGCAGGCTCAGCAGCCATGGCTCACGGGCCCAGCCACTCCGCGGCATGCGGGATCTTCCCGGACCGGGGCATGAACCCGTGTCCCCTGCATCAGCAGGCAGACTCTCAACAACTGCGCCACCGGGGAAGCCCTCAAAAATACTTTTATTAGGAGATAAATGATTGATACCTTCCTGTTACTGCATATATTAAATCTGGGGAATGGTGCTATGAAGTGGCTTCCCATCACAGAAATGGGGCTCGTTTAGAGTTTCAGAAGACGTGCTCAGCAGCCCTAGCTGGCCCACCTCACCCCCTTGAGCCTTCTTTCAGTGCAATTCTTCAGCACCCAGCTCATCTGTCCCTTCCTCTGCGAAGCCCTCAGTCTGCAAGTGTCCCAGTGCGTGGAACAGGAGATACTGGGGGCTGACCCCGGCTCCCCATGTCCTCAGGACACCCCACAGTGTTCTGGCCTGGGATGTCCCCTCTCTGGTTTTCCTTCCTCCAGCCCGGGACAGGGGCAGAGCCTTGGCCAACCCCCTGGGGCCCTGTAAGGAAGGCTGTGAGGCGCCAGAACAGGGTCAGCAGTGCGCCTCCTCCACCCAACGCCGTCCTCTGCCAGGAATTTGTTTCCCAGTTCCCGTTCCCTGATGGAGACAGCCCTGTGGTCTGGAGTAAGGGAGACAGAAAGCACCTCTTTCGCTGGGAGCCAAGCCTAGCTGAGCGTGGCCCCCTCCTCGTCCCCTTCCCACCTCCGTGGAAGTGCTCCACAGATGAGCAGGAGCTGAGGGCAGCTCTGCAATGATTTCTCTCCCTGGTTGACCCCCAGGGTTCCTCTTTCTACTCCAAGCCCTTTACCCTCCCCCACCCCGGCCCCAATCCCAGGGTATCTGTGTAGATAGACTGTGGTGGATTTCGTGAGAGGAATGAGGGCGTCCTGAGAGGAAGGGAGAGGTGGCCACAGCCTCTGAGTGACCCAGTGACAGAGGGACAGAGGGGTGTCAAGTCGTTACGGTGCAGCCGAAGGCAATCAGGTGTAAGCCAAAGCCTTCCTGCAGAGGACAAGAGGGGAAGAGGTGGGGGAGGTGAAGCGAGGGCCCACACCCTCCTGCTCTTGGAAGACTGAGACAGGACGAGGCTCATGGGTGGAGTCAGAGGAAGGGCAAGGGGCACTGTCACCCAAAGAGACGGGTGAAAAGGTATTTGTGGTCACAACTTGAAACCTGGCTCCACCACGTACTCGCTGTGTGGTTCCTTAAGGGAGTTACTGAACGGCTCTGTGTCTCAGTTTGCTGTAAAATGAGGCCAATGGTAGGACCAAACTCTTAGAGGGGTTATGAGGAATATGTGAGAGAATGTATATAGCAAGCTTGGCGTGGTACCTGGCACAGCAGTCCTACTGGTTAGGGGTCGTCTGCTATGACACGCATGCTGATGAGTGTTTTTATTATGTGGTGGGACTATATTCCCTGAAAAGCGTGAGGTGAAAAGCTCTGAGTGAGTCTTAGCTCTTCCGCTTACTAAGTTATATAACATTTGGTTAGTTATTTAACCCTGCTGATCTTAGGTTTCTCACCTGTAAAACGAAAGAGCTGAATCAAGTTATCTCTAAGATCCCTCGCAGTTCTGATAATCCAAAGGTCATTTTGTCCCAACAATTGCTACCAAGACAAGCCTACCCATACATTAAAGCAGGGCCCCAAATAGTCTCCAGGTGGTAGCACTTTTATAAGCCAATTTCAGCTACTCCATATGATTATTCATTCATTCAACAGTTATTCATTGAGCGCCAAGGGGCTAGTGGATCCCCTCCTCTCTCCACCATTGAGCCCAACTCCTTGCAAGACCTGTAGCAGCTCCTGTCTCTTGAAGAGCAGAATTGTGCCTGCCTTTAACCTTTGCTAATCTCTGTGGCTGAGGGGGGCGCTGGGGCAGGTCACTCACACACCCACCTAGCCCAGGCGGGCAGGGATACTCACGGCGGTTGGAGGCCACCTGCCTTTGCTTGTAGACCAGGAGCAGGATGAGGGGGAGGCAGAGGATGCCCACGATGCAGGCGCTCGTAGCCAGGGCAGCAGCCGTGATGCCTGAAAGGACAGAGGCAGCCAAGGTGAGGCCCCGTTCCCACTGCACCTCCTGAGGGGAAACTGAGGCCCGGAGAGGGAAGGCCTGGCAACAGGGGGACCCACCTTTACCCTCGCCCCACATCCAGACCCTCACTGACTTGCAGAGGCACGGAAGCTCTGGGGACCCCAGGGAGGCCAGAGCACCAGAAATCAGGCCAGGCGCTTACAGCTGAGGCAGCTCAAGCGGGGAAAGAGAAGGGTCCTCATCCCAGCCCACTGGGAACAGCTCGACCACCCTGGGTGACGGGTTGTTCCCTGAAAAGGGAGAGCAGGCCTTCACAGACCTCATGCCACAGAGTTCAAGGTCAGAAGGAGCCCGAGAGATGAAAAACTTTTGGAAATGGATAGTGGTGATAATTGCACAACACTGAGAGCATAATTAATGTCACTGAATCAAATACTTAAAATTGGTTAAAATGGGGCTTCCCTGGTGGCGCAGTTGTTGAGAGTCCACCTGCCGATGCAGGGGACACGGGTTCGTGCCCCGGTCCGGGAAGATCCCACATGCCGCGGAGCGGCTGGGCCCGTGAGCCATGGCCGCTGAGCCTGCGCGTCCGGAGCCTGTGCTCCGCAACGGGAGAGGCCACAACAGTGAGAGGCCC